TTTCATAATGCTCGCTATACTATCATTGCTCAAATTTGTAAAGAGTATAACAGACATGAGACATGTTTCCTTACAGGGGTTCAAAATGTTGTCAAATATAAATCAAATGAGTTGACTCATCCAAATTTATATGTAAAATTTAACAAAAAAAAATAAAATTTTACTAAGTAAAGGTCGCTTCCAGCCTTAGAAAAACTTGTAGAGGGAGTTTTTAGGATCCCAACAGTAGTTAAATCATCCAAATCGGCTTGGTGGATCCCAAGATACTTGAGATTAAAGGTGTGAACATAGGGATCTGCAAAGTCACTGTTACATGAAGGAGGCTTACACATTGATCTACATGTCCGGATCAAACATTGCCAGGAATTTTCTTGTATGGGTTAATTTATCCATTTTTATTATACAAGTGGTATGTTTAAATATTCGGTAAATAATTGTTCTATTGTTATGATTGATTGTGTCTATAAGTCGTAGCTTTGTTAATTTTTGGGTTTTCTGAGTTTTAGTAATTTCATGGTAGAATCTCGTAAATTATGCTCAATTGAGCATACAAATTCTTGATTTTAAAGTAATCCTAATAGTCCATTATTGCTAATTTTCTTTAGCATTAGATTTCCTTTTAATTTCTTTGATATATTTATTTAGTCTTGTGGGTTGAAGAGTTCTAAATACTTGTAGCTATAATGGGTATTTAGTATTTTATTAATACAGTTGATTTTGCTTTGTATCTGGTTTTTTCCATATTCTAATTGTTTTTTATATTTTTCAAATTGAAGTATTTCTTGTCATGTCATGGTTTCTACTTGTTTAGAATATGCTAAATATTCTTGGTGTGTCATGGCTGGTATATACTTTCTAATTTCTTCTTCATTTACAAGACTTTTTATATCTTCAAAGCAATATTTTGCTTGGTCATTATTAGTATATACTTGTTCTAGATTACTATAATCTTCACAATATTCATAGTATTTATGTATTTTGTTAAAAATGTAGTTTAGTGGTTGTTTAATCATTAGTATTAATAGTAACTGTATTACTTCATCATAAGTATACCATTTCTATTCTGATGCATTTTTTGGTTCAGTTTGCTTTAATGTTGTTCCAATATTTACTGAATAAATAAATACTGTTCATTGTATTTTGTGAGTTGCTTTGTCTGGTGGGCAGTATTTTTCTGCTACCTATTCTTGTGAGCTTATTTTAAACTCAGTTTATACTTTGATTAATTGTGATTTTTTTAGTAATATATTTGATTCTTCTAATACTTCTCGTATTGCTGTGACTTCTTCAGATTCACATGGTCTTCCTAATTCATCTAATTTGCTCTTTCTTTCTATTTCTTGATAATTTCTATAAAATACTTTTAAAGGGTTATTTCTTTGTAATAATGCTATTTGATATCCTTTTGCAGGATAGTATCTAAATAGTGCTGTTTGAACTATATGTCAGATTGGTAGATTGAGGTGATTAATTAGTGATTGTGCTATAAATTCTAAGTTTCTGCACATGAAACAGGTGTCATAGTATGTTTCTTGATTTTTGTTAATTATTTCTCTGTAATCTATTATATTATTGAAGTTATTGCAAGTAATGCATTTTCAAAGTATTCCATACTCTGGATCTTTAATTATTGGTAGTTGCTCCATTTTTGTTTAGTTGTTTAATAGTATATTCTATTAATTCAATATCTTCAAGTTTCTTTTTAGATTGTTCTATTTCTTGTTATAAGGTTTTAGATTTCTTTAGTTTATATACTTTGGTCTGTACGTATTTTCTATAGTTTCAGTCAATTTGGTTACACTGGTAACAGCATTGTAGTTCTATTACACTATTAGTCTTTTTAATTTTCTTTTCAAAATATTCTTTTGTGAGATATCTTTTGCACTTTGGGCAATGTTTCTTTTTGTTATTTGTTTCTGAGATTGGTTTTGAAGGTGTATAATTTTGGTAGTATTTTAATTTGCACTCTTGGCAGGATTTGAGTTTTCTGCGGTCTTTAACAAATGTTTTGAAAGATTTTTTTCTTGAGCAAATAACACAACTAATTAAATAATTGTAGAAAAATATTCCATTATTGTTTATGATTTCTACAGATCTTTGTTGCTTTTGTTGTTCTAGTCTAAGTTTACATCTATCACAGGTTTTGCTCATTTTTCCTAATTTATTAGGAATTGTATATATTCCCTTGAGTGTTTTGCACTTGGTACACTTCTTGATATTCTTGTTGCAATGCTTCATATATTTCTTTGTTTATCTGATCAATAATAGCTTGTCTTGCACTTGTTATTTGTAAATTTGTTTGGTATTGCTCAGAATTGTGTTCTGAGTTTGCACTTTGAGTTCTGTACTTGATACAGGTTCAGTATAGTATTCTTGTCTGTTTTTCTCCAAATCCTTCTTTTGGTTTCTTGATTCTGCACCTTGAGCACTTTATTTATGTAGGTTGGTTCTTAATATTTTTTTCTTTGTTATTTCTTTAAATTTGGTATTCTTTCTAATATTCTGGTTTTTGAGATCTTCTGTCTCTACAGTGTATACAAGTTTTATTCACTCATTTTTCTCATTTAAAGTCTTCAGAATAATTTCTATATTTTTGGCAGGTTGAACAGTATTGGTATTGCAATTCTGGTTCTACTATTATAGGGTTATGGAATATAAAATTATATTCCTGCTGTTAGTTTATTCTTTACTTCTTTTGGGTCTATTAGTAGTAATTCTTCTACTGCTTCTATTCGTATTCTATGTTTCTCTGCATTATCTTCACTGAATTGTTCAAATCTCGTAATTCTTTTTTGTCACACTTCAGGAATTGAGTATTTATATTATTGTATGTATTGTGGTTGTTTTAATTCTTTAGCTAATACTTCTTTTTCTTCTGCTAGGTCTTCAAAAATTAGTTGGTAGAGGCTTACAGCATTTTCTGATGTCCATGGTACGAATACTTCTTGGTGATATTCTTTTATTAGTTTAATTGCTTTTTCTTTTGGTAGTGTTTGGCTATCCCTCCACTTATATCGTTTAGCTTTTCTTCTTAATTCTGCAACTTTTCACTACTTTATATTAAAGTTGCTATGTTTTTTCAGGTATATTATTCTAAATGAGAGGTATAAAAGTATAAGTTTATATCTTTCTTTTTTGTTAGTTTTTGTAACATCATTGGGATTTTCTTGTAATTTTTCTTTAATATCTATTTAGTATTTTCTTACTAATTTAATCAGTTTCCTAATTTTACTTAATCCATTTTTATAGATTTCTTTAATATATACACTATGTTCTTTTAATTAGTTTTTAATATGTTTCCACTGCTCTAATTTTTCAGAGTTTGGGGGTTTAATTAATTCTTCAGAGTATTGTCTCTATATATATCTTAATTTCGTTTTGAGTTTCTTTTTATACTTATTTTTCATTTATAATGCACTAAATTATTTTTTTGTATATACGAAAATTCGTGCCATATATAAGCTTCTACTTTATCAAGTGTCCAGGTAAAGGTATCAAATAGAGTAACAATATAGAAATCTTTATCTTTTAGGGTTGCTTTTGTTTCTATTACTTTTTCTAAGCTTTTTTTCTATTAAGAGTTCCTTGGTATATTAATATTTGATTTGGTTCATCTCTGGTTAAATTTACTACAAAATGTTCAATTTTAGTAATTTCTTCTCACAGTTGTGAATATGGGTGTACTTCTTTGTCAAAGAATACAAAGATGTCTTTTCGTAGTATGTTGGAAATTCTGGTAAAGTGTCCTAGTCTGGTGGATATTATCCTTACTATGAATTTTCTAAATAGTTTAGCAAATAATTGAAGTAATTTTACTTTTATTGTTAACTAGTGTTTTATTATTGATAACAAGGTTGTTTCTGATAATACTATAATATTATAATTGAACAGTTTTTCAACTCTCCAATCTAGATATCATAGTCATTGGAATTGTTTGAAGCTTGTTGAATAATAGTTAATTTTGACTGGTACATCAGTATATGCTATAATTTTTTTATCTCCTTTGGGTGCTATGGGAGTAGTTGTAGATGTTTTTAATTGAAATTCTTTAGTTGGTGTTCTTTCTGGTGCAGTTATATTTTTGTATGCTCTTTCTATTTGAGTGGTTTGGTTTTGATATTCTTGTTTCTCATCAGTTGATAAATAGCTCATTGACAGTTTCTAATCCAAGAATTAAAGTATAAGCTTGTAAAGCTTTTAAATATATTTCAATATTTTGAATATTGAATGCTAATTTTTGTTATTCCCTGCTCAACCCCATCCACATCACACTTTTCATGTACTTATTTCTACTGTATACCTCATCAGATTCTTATTTTTACTGGTGTATACTAGGGTATTGATAATAGTTATATCCCAGTAGTCAAATATAAATTGAATGTAAATACTATTTGAAAACAATAATATCATAAATAAGTAACTCAAATTTCCTGATTGTCATATATCACTCAGGGTATAAAGTAGTTAATTAGCAATATGAAATTGGTCACATGGTTTAATAGACTCATAGGACCACAACATCTTATAATACTACTGAGTCATTAGAAACATTGATCGATTCTTAAATTTAACAGTATATACATATAAAATATATGAATAAACAGTTTTCTTTTTAAATAAAGTTTATGCAAAGTGGTAATTCACAAGAGATACATTAAAATATTGCCAACTTAAAATTTTCAAGTTTATGATCGGCTTAAACCAAATTTTGAAATAACCTGAAATAATCTGAAAATAAATATAAATAAAATCATGTATATAGTAATGGGCTGGAAGTTTAGTATAAATAAAATTATATATATAGTAATGGGTGTTTAGCGAAAAAAAATTATTTAAAATAATACATAGCAATCGTACTTCATTAATATATATTTAATTTAGTTAAAAATATTATATATTATTCAAATACAAATTATATAAAAAACTAAACCACTATATTAATTATTGAAGTTAATAGTAATGTTTTTGTACTTAATAAACTTCAGCTTTTTGTCACCAAGTTAATATTCACTAGACTGTTTCTTTGTTGACATAATATTGTCAGAATTAGTAATTTCATTAAATGGTATTTTTGGAACTTCAGCAGTTATATCTTGATCCTCTGTCTAAAAATTAATTAATTAGTTTATGTATAAACTTAAAATTGAGGAATTACTAAATATAGATTAGATTAGCTTACATTTGTAATACAATTTTGTAAATTAGATGTATCAGAATTCAAGAATGTATCAAAATTTGGCATGGTTTCATTTTGAGAATCTTCATTCAATGTTAGTCATGGTAAAATCTAAATACAAACTAATTAGTATTAATATTTAAATTATTAATAAATAAAATAAAC